CCAGGGATATGACCTCATATGGCATGGTCTCTCTGACTCTGGCCAGGTATGTGGCACTGACGTCGTTGCTCCGGCTGGTACAGTCCGATCACAGTGCTGTGCAGCGTCATCGGTCCACCGTGGTAGAATGTCTCCAGGAAACAGATGCCTCCCTCAGCAGGTAAGCAGAGGGAGAAGGGGACAGAGCAGAGGACACAGTGCCTGGTGGCCGAAATGCAAAGCAGCTGGAGTGAGAACTAAAGGACAAGGTGTTTGAGATCAGTGGAGCTAGAGCAGGGTAACCTGGGCCATCTGCCTGGACGCCTCTCTCCTGCCAGGCGGGCCCTGGAGCTGAGCCTGGCCCTGGTGAACAGCTCCAATGTGCGAGCCATGATGCGGGAGCTGCAGGCCTTTCTGGAATCCTGCCCCCCTGATCTTCGGGCTGATTGTGCTTCCGGCATCCTATTGGCTGCGGAGAGGTGAGATGACAAGTGCCTAGGAGTCAGAGGGTGCGGCCTGGGGAGGGATGCTGATGAGTCATGTCCCCCTAGGTTTGCTCCAAGCAAGCGGTGGCACATAGACACCATCCTGCACGTGCTGACCACGGTGAGATGGGGTTGTCGGGGAGTTGGGGAGGAGTGGGCAGAGCTCACTGCTCTGACTTGGCCACATCTCTCCGTATCCAGGCAGGCACCTATGTGAGAGATGACGCGGTGGCCAACCTGACCCAGCTGATTGGGGAGGCCCAGGAGCTTCACGCCTACTCTGTGCGCCGCCTCTACAGTGCCTTAGCAGAAGACATCTCCCAGGTCTCACTCTCCTTCCCCAGCTCCGGCTCACCAACCTTTCCAGCACTAGGATTTGAGTGGTTTTCCTCCTAGCATAGCAGCCAGAAGCTGGTCGAGGACAAAGCCCACCTCTTGCTTAGGCTTCTATCCTGGCCCTGGTGCCTACCGACTGCAACTGCAGATACAACTTTCTTCCTCAGCATTCTAGAATGCTGGCCTCCCAGGCAGTCTTCAGGAGCAAATGAGATGTGTTAAAGCTTGGCGCATAATTCATTTCTGTTATTACCTTCAGTGCTGAGTGGATTAACAGGTGCCAGCTGATATCTGTAACTCCCCTCTGTCAACTTAAATAGAGTGAACAGAAAGCATCCCAGTTTTCTTAGGAAGGAGCCTCTCAGGGCTCCATCATGTGACCAGGCCCTGTAGTTTCGGTGCTTGCCCACCAGAGGGCAGTAGGAACCAAAATGCCAAGACAGCCTGCTAACAAGTTTAACCCTTCCCTGCCAACCCCATGATCTGCTGTAAAAGAACACTGTAGGGTCTAGAAGAGAGGAGGCCCCCAGCCAGCTCAGCCGTGTCTCTTTCCCCACACAGCAACCACTGGCTCAGCTGGCAGCCTGGTGCATCGGCGAGTATGGGGACCTCCTACTGGAGGGTAACTGTGAGGAAACGGAGCCTTTGCAGGTGAGAGCTGAGGAGTGGGAGGTACACTGGAGAGGACTCGTCAAGACAGACGTGGCCTGTGGACATGACCTGTTGCCCACTCCTGAAGGTGGAAGAGGAAGAGGTGCTGGCGCTGCTGGAGAAAGTGCTGCAGTCCCATCTGTCCCTGCCTGCCACCCGAGCCTATGCTCTCACAGCCCTCATGAAGCTCAGCACCCGGCTCCCGGGAGGTAACAAGTAAGAAGGAAGTCCCAGGCCTTAAAAGATGTCCCTTCATTGTGGCTCCTAGTCTTTGAACTCTCCAGGAACACGCCCCTCTCTCCGGCCCCCTAGTCCTTAGGAATCTGCTTTTGAGCCACGTATATTAGATGTCTCCTTACTCTGTGAGGCTTCCGCTTTCCCTCTCGTCCTGGAGGGGAAGAGCAAGCTGACTGCCATTGCTTCTCACAGGCCACATTGTGGCCCAGTCGTATCCGCCAGGTGGTCTCCATCTATGGGAGCTGTGTGGACATAGAGCTTCAGCAGCGGGCTGTGGAGTATAACATGCTCTTCCAGAAATATGACCATATGAGGTACGTGAGCTTCAAACTCCGTGCTCCGCAAGTGCTCCCTTCTAGATGGCCTTGCTTTGTGGTGAGCATCTCCCATCCATAGCTGACATAGGTCTGGTTCCCAGTACTCATCTGCTGTCTAGAGACCAGCAACAGTGCACTGTCTTAGGAAACCAGAACGGCACTTGCGACCCTACCATGTGACCCTGAATGTGACCCTGCATGCGACCCTGCATGCAACCCTGCATGCAACCCCACATGCCCAGGGCCCTCTTCTTCTGTTCCTAAATGCTTCTGTGCAAGCGTAGGGCTCACACAGAGGGACCCTTGCATTCCATCCCCTCAGGGCTGCCATCCTGGAAAAGATGCCTCTCATGGAGCGCAGTGACTCTCACGTTGATGAAGAAGGAAAGGAAAACAAAGCCGGGGCCCAGCTCTTGGAAGCGTCTGCCCCTGTCCCCACAGAGCCCCAGGTGAGGAGGCTGGTAGACCTGAGTAAAGAGGACTTCTGGGGGTGTCCACGTCCTGCCATGACCCCCCTGCCCTTTTTCCCAGGCCACTAAGCTCTTGGATCTGCTCGATCTCCTGGATGACACTCCTGAGCATGCTCAGCACCCTCCTCCTCTCAATCCTTCCCCCGGGGAGACCTTGGTCCACCTCCTGGACCTTCCCTGTGCACCTCCAGCCCCTGGTAAGCCTCAGCAAAGGGAGTAGCTGGAAATGTGTCACTCTCTGTCTGAGCCAAGGACAGAGACGCCATCCCAGTAGGCAAAGGTTTTCATCCCATGCCAGTTCTGTCTTGGTTCTCTAAAACGACCTTCTTTGTCGTAGTTCTTATCCCAGGCTGCAGGCCTATTTCCGCTCCAGGCTGTATCATATCCCACTACCCACTCCACTGGCCCCTTCAACCCCTAAATTCTTCCACCTCAAACACTTGACATTTCATGTTCTTTCCCCAGCACCTCAAATGACTAGCTCATGCTCACTCTTCAGGCTTCAGCTAAATGTCAACCGCCTCATCCTCTCTCCCCTGCTTAACTTAGTTCTCCCCAGTTACTTTTGACTTCTTGCCTCTAACATCATGGCGATGATTATCTTGCATTTTGTTGTCGTGTTGTGGCCCTGTCCCACACCAGACGGTCAGCTCTCACCTCAGCTTGTCTGGCTTCTCATTAGAAAGGGGGCAGTGCAGAGCCAAGATTCGCTTGCTCCATTTTGATTGGGTGAGTGGATAGCTGTGCTATGTTAAGCCTGAGCACTGAGCTGCCTCTCTCCCTTCTCCAGCTCCCATCCCTAGTCTTCGAGTGTTCGAGCGTGAAGGCGTCCAACTGGACCTAACCTTCGTGCGGCCCCTGGAAACCCCAGCCTTGCTCTTAGTCACTGCCACCACCACCAACTCCTCGAGGGAGGATGTTACCCACTTTGTTTGCCAGGCAGCTGTGCCCAAGGTTTGGAAAAATAGGGTTCAGCCATGTGTGGTAGCTCATGCCTGTAATTCTAGAGCTTGGGAAGTTGAGGCAGGGGAATCACTGTTTGAGGCCAAGTTGGGCTACTTTGTCTAAAAGAAAGAAGAAAAAATTAGGTTTCAGAGGTAGTACAGGCACTCTCGGAGAAAAGACCAGAGAGTGTAGAGGTGGGTGGGAGGCTGAGTGAAGCGGAAAGGAGTGATGTGGACAGTTTGGGAGCCACGGAGCGTGGAGGACTGCCCGAGCCCAGCCAGAGGTCTTACTACGCTCTGCCCAAACCTCCCATTTTCAGAGTTTCCAGCTGCAGCTACAGGCCCCCAGTGGGGACATAATTCCAGCTCAGGGTGGCCTTCCTATCACCCAGCTCTTCAGAATCCTCAATCCTAACAAGGTGAGTTGTCAGACCCTGTGGACAGGAGACGTGGGGACAATCAGGGCCCTAACCCTCCCTGGTCTCTGTTTTGTTTGTAGGCAACGCTGCGACTAAAGCTACGCCTCACCTACAACCACTTTGGCCAGCCGGTACAGGAGATCTTTGAGGTGGATAACTTGCCCGTGGAGACGTGGCAGTAACTTGCTGTGGTCTGTGTCTGACCTGGGTGTTGCCAGGCTCTTGGTATCTTATTCAAGGAATGGAAATAAAGGCACTCATAAATTGCAAATAGCAAGGAAGCTTTATTCAAAAGCGGTGGTGGTATAAATCATAAATACATTGCGAAGAGCAACGGCCACAGAACTCGAGGGCCCAGGGTTATTGCCTGGTGCTTCTTTAATGGGGTCTTAGGGGAAGGAGTTCATTGCTAAGTGGCATAATTTGAGTGGTTCTCTATTTTGATTGACAGGCTTGGATTCTGTAAGCTTTTCCTCACTGTGCATGACCCTTCCCATGATGCATCTGGTTTTTAATCATATGCTCGTTCTTCATAGGCACAGGATGAGAAATAGGGGTTCTCCTTAAAAGTTCACCCAAAGGACACAGTCTCCCTTACTCTGCTTGCGCTCAAAACCCAGCTAGGCCCAATCAGCTCCCTGCTTTCTGTACGCGGATATGAACTGTCCGCAAAGGGGAGTTTTTGATGGCTGCTGGGGGAGGAGAGACTTATTCCATTGTTCGAAGTGGGACACACGTGCCACTCAGGAGAGTGCAGTGGGGGTCTCAGGTGCACCTGCGCCGTAAGAAGGATGTGGGGACTTAGTCACGATCCTAGGGTGCCAAGTGCATCCACTGTTAGATAGAGGTGTGCGAGGCTCAAGCCAAGTGGAGTTCTAGATTGTTAAAACATTGACTCCTAACGGCCTCAGCTCACCTGAAATCCGTCAGCACCCTGGCTGGGAACAAAAGCCCTGAGGGCTAACAGCAGGTGGCACTCTGGCCCTGTGTTTGTCTCTGCGGTCTGAGAGACTGGACCGCCTATGAAAGCTGAGCAGGGCAGAAAGGCAGGTTTTGACCTAGTGAGAAAGAAAATGTTTAGGAGCGAGGGTAGAGCCTTCTCCACAGGATGTATGACTTCTTGAGACCCCAGGAACCTGTCTCAACTATGATTTTCTTTCTCCCCGTCTCTGGGTTGGAGAGCAAATTTGTCTCTAAACTGCCACCCAGGGGGCTCTATCCTCTGGACACAGCGGCAGACCCAGCCGAGTTCCAGATCTCTAACAGAAGTTCCCAGCCGGTTCCCAGCCTTGTTGCTATTCCCTACCCCCCAAGGCAGGGGAATCCCTGCTGCTCCCCGCATCTCTAACTCAGCTGTAAGGCGGCTTCAGAGCTGCTGGCAGAATCAATGGCATCGACCACAGGAGGGGGGGTGGCAAGGGATTTTCCTGTGCTTAACTACTGATCACAGCTAAGTGGAAATCCTATAAACACGAGCGGAAATCAATGGAGGCTGCTTAGCGGCCAGGGGAGAGGGGCGGCCCACAGATTACATCTGACGGATGAGGGAGGCAATGAGGGAGGGCTCAAAAGAAGGGCAGCTGAGGATGGGTGAAAGACCAGGCGGAACCGGAGACAAAAGTGGCCCTGTCGGAAGGGAAGGGCACGGTGGGTCCAGGTGTGGATGGCAGCTCTGGAGAGTTCCCTTCCCTTATAGAGAGTGAACCCTGCTCCCAGAAACTGTCAGGATGTCGAGTCCCCCGTGGCTTCACTGCAGCTGTTTGCCTCGAGCAGGCGCTGATAGTCCAGAGGCCTGAAGCGCTGTAGGTATACCATGAGCTTGGCAGGTGCCTTCTCCTGTGCTGGCACTCCTGCAGGGAAGGGGACAGGGAAGGAAGAGACAGATGCAACCACTAAACACACTTTCGCTTTGCTCTCTGCCCACCCAGCCAGGACTCCAAAGTTTGCAACACAGTACTAAGAACCAAGCAGCCTCTCTACGTCACCCACTCCGCAGGTGGACTGCAGAAGGGTGAGCCCAAAGATTTACGCGGTTGTGTGGCTGGAAAGCCACGCCTGAGCCTCTCCAGCCATGAGAAATGATCCCAAGACAGGGGAGCCAAGCCATGTCACATATCACCCCCCTCGCCCAATCAAGAGTCCCGCCCATCTAGGCAAGCCCGAGCTCGCTAGCTTGGTGATGAAGCACACGCAGGGAAGTACAGAAGAGAACCAAAGGCTATGGAAAATGGAGAACAGGAACTGCGCAGTGGCGTTCACAGCATCTCCTTTCTAACCACTGGCTGCTAGTGTTGAGAATGGGCATCGGCATGCTGACCCACAGCGGGAAACTAATGCCATGTGTGGTTTCTAAGAGGTTCAGCCCCCTAGGACTGTCGGGACCTGTGGGGTGCACAAACCCTGAAATGCGGGGCCCCGCTGTCTGTCAGAGCTAAGCATGGAAACAGAAAAATCTGCCAAGTACCCCCCCCCCCCCGCCCCAAACAAATATAACGTTCTTGTCTTTATTCCAAGCCAAAAGCACAGCCCAGAGGGTGTGGCTACCTCCACCTGCAATCCCAGCACTGGGGTGGATCACAAGTTTAAGGCCTTACCGGGGCTACACTGAAGACTGAAGAAAAAGCCAAGGGGATAATGAGGACGTAGGAAGTTCAAAGAGAAAACGGAAGTTTATGGGAAGGCCTGACACACAGAACTAGAGGAATTAAATGAGGTGATACCGAGGATTAAGACTGGAGACGAGAATTAAATCCAAATTAGCTACTATGGAATAGAAAGCCATTTTACAGACGTGAAAACAAACTGGACCTTTGAGAAAGTCGCCACAAAAAAAGTTCCCTTATAAAAATGATACTCTATGGCTCGGCGGCGGGGGCGCGGGGGGGGGGGGGGGTCTCCAGTGAGGTTAAATGAGAAGCAGGGGCGGCATCAGAGAGCCCGTCTCCCTCACCAAGCAGGGTGCTGAAGCTGAAGATCTTCTCTAGGGCAGCTGGTACTTCTTCCTTCTCCCGGACCATGACCTCCACCTCACCCACAGCATAGCCGAAGTCTGTTGAGTCCAAGTCCACTCTGAGCTTCGGCTCCTCTTCACTGGCTCCAGACAAGGCCAGCATCCAGGAACTTCGCGTAGTCACGAAACTAGCTACTTCCTGCAGCTTCAGGGAACCCAAGGCAGCAGCCACACCTGCAGTCCCAAGCTCCTCAGCCCCAAGCAGTTCCAACAGCTGGGCCACAATGGCCGATTCCGATGTGAGCTCCACATACTCGTTGTGGGATCCTGGGATACCTGCTACTCCAGGGCATTTGAGCTCCCATCCACTACCTTCTCGTTGTCGCAGCCAGTGATCAGACCGCATAAGGCTTAGCTCAGAAGTATCATAGTAGGTGTCTTGGAAGGTGACCCTGTGCTCCAGGGTGCCCCCCAACTCCTGCAGCCTTTCTTCCGTGTCAGGCCCTGGGGTAAACTTTCGCTCCACTTCAATCAAGCCCTGGGCCATGTTACCTGCAACACAGGTTGGCAAAGAATTCACTGCGTGCTCATGGGTACGATTAGTCAGCAGAGACCCCCCCCACAAACACACCCTTTAGTCCTGGATGAATTTAAGAGGCACGCACATACACTGGCTCAGAGCTCTGCCTCAGGGACACAGGGTTCTACTTCGAGATTTCAGCGTGCTGCAGCGAAAACAGGTCTCCAGTTAAATGCTAGTGCTGATAATGTCTTCAAGCCAAAGGCTCGCTAGAAAGCAGGCCCTGATGCTGAAGACCTTTCCACATCTCTCTACACCTTGCCACCCAGGCCAGTGGTTCAGTGCTCGGAGTGTCCTGTCATTCTTCGCACAGCACCGACCAGCTGAACCTCAGAACTCTCTTCAAGACCCCAGGGTCTCCCTCTCCTGGGACCCGGAAATGGGGGAAGGGAACCCACGCTACACCCGCGAGGAATGCCGGGAGCAGTCTCCGGCTCCGGACCTTGGCCCTGGCTCTTTACGCGCGGGTCCGGACCTAGCACCAGCGGCCATATTAGACCGGTGTAGCGGTGCCGATGACAAGCTAAGCCCGAGAGGTCTGTTAGGTTACGTGCAACCCAACCCGGTAGGCAAGAGGAGCGAGACCATCCTCTCGCCCGCTGCTCATCCTGGATCCTTCCTGGAGCCGGGGCATGGGCCAAGATCTCGAGCCTCAGCGTGAGCCTGGCATCCGGGGCCTGGTGCATGATGGGAAATGTAGTTCCAAGGGGCCCCCTCACCTTTCATGCCCACCCGTCGCTATGGTGATAAGAAACATGCAATTAGCGTTAACCAGCTGGGCTCTACCTGAAGCTTAACAGGAGGAGATTGGGGGTTGGCTAACGTGAAGAGGAGAATGCAAAGAGCTTAGGCTCCAGACCCCAACCCCTCCCAACGTGGACTGTGGGTGGGCCCCATGAGACACAGCCCACTCAAGTATTGCAGTTATGGCTGCCCACTAAGGGCTGGTCAGTGGTAATGGTCTGGCGCGTGAGTGGAGTAATTCAGTTTAGCCACCTAGAATGTTTTTATGATTTTATTTTATTTTATTATTTTATTTGACACAAGGCTCTCATGTGGCCCAAACTAGCCTGGAACTCCTGATCCCCCTTAGAGTGAGTGCTGGGTCATATGTGTGAGCCATCATGCCCTACCTCTATCCTGGAATTTTAGAAGGGATCTAATACAAAATGGTACGAATGATTAGGATAAAGGCGAGTGGGAAACTTTCTATCAGCGGAGGAAGTGATATTTTGAATATGAATTAGATATGTGATGGAGAAGCTGGAGCGATGGGTCAGCACTTAAGTACACTTGCTGTTCTTAATAGAGGGCTGGAATTACCGTCCCAGCACTTATATGGCGGATCACAGCCCCTGTAACACAGTTAGAGGGGGATCTGACGCCCTCTTCTGGACTCCTCGGGTACTACAGACAAAACGCTGAAATTTTTTAAAAAATATTTCTTATGGTTTATTTAACTTTATTTTATGTGCATTGGTGTGAAGGTGTCAGATCACCTGGAACTGGATCTTCAGACAGTTGTGAGCTGCCACGTGGATGCTGGGAATTGAACCCGGGTCCTCTGGAAGAGCAGTCAGTGCTCTTAACTGCTGAGCCATCTCTCCAGTCCACACTGAAGTTTTTTCTTAAAAATTAATTCTAGAAGAGGAGGAGAAGAAGGAGAAGAAAAAGAGAATGTAATGGGATTCTGATTGTTGGAGACCTGGGTAGAACTAACTTCCTGAATAAAAGGACCAAAAGCTAGCTACAGCACCCAGTCAGTATCAAAGCAGACAATGGCTTGAAGTACAGTTGAGTGGCAGCCTGAAAAAAAAGCCATGAGTGAGTGCCAGGATAAGCTGTCCATTTCCAGCAGTCTTGAGCACACACATCTGTACAGGCACACATCTGTAATGCCAGCATTTGGGGCGGCTGAGGCAAAAGGATCACAGCTTGAGGTGAGTCTGAGCTACAGACTCATGCTGGGCTAGGGGCTACAGGTCATGCTGGGCTAAAGGCAAGACCTTGTCTGGAAAAGACAAACACAAAAACAAAAATAAACACAGACATGGGAATTACTCTCTGTTTGCTCTCGGAACCTGAGACGGGTCCTTAACCTTACCCGGATCCTGTGGTGTATTTGTAGACCTTAACTTTGTCTCTGCCTCTGAACGAAGACACTGCTACCTTCTCGGCTTGCTTCTGTGATAGGTGTCAAGTGCGACACCTGCTTCCTTATGTCTCTATAACAACCGGGGAGGAATTACGGGAAGGTCCCTGGTTTACAAGCATGGCATTTTGAACATGGGTTGGTGTTACACAAGCTGCTACTTCTGGTCTACTGGGTTGGATCTTATAGAATACAAAAGATATCAGTGCTTTCTGGGTCAACAAAACGGAAAGTAAAGAACCGAGTGGGAAGGAAACACCCCCAGTCCCCAACCCTTCTCATTAGCTTGAAGCTCATCTGTTGTTTACTGGACTCCAGCAAAACTCAAGGTCGACTCTGCTTCACTTGGTAGACCATTGCCCTTGGACAAGCCACTCCACCTCCCCAAGTCTACTTTTTCAGTGTTCTGCCTCACAATTAAAAGAGGATTGAAGATGCATTAACAAACTCAACTGTTACATGGTAGAAACTCAAGACAATGGTTTCTCTCCCACCCTCAATTTCAGGAGTTTCTGCTATTGTTGTCCTTTAAGAAAAATATGCCCTATCAGCTAGTTTAGGCTCCAGAATCAGAACACTGACGTTTGCATAATGGTACTATTGTTTTTTGGCCATGCATTCTTGAACTGGTAAGACTTGGTAAGACTACTATAAAATGAACTCCTGTATAGTGTTTTAGAATCTTAGAAACTGATGAGCTGACAAGCTGAAGAGAAGGAACCAGAGCCTCCCCTCTCCCCACCCAATCGGGGGAGTGCAACTGAGTTGAGAAGACAGCCACCCTGGGAGACGTCAAAGTAATTGTTATGAGAGAGAAGGCTCTAGTAGTCAAAAGGGAAACGACACAGCTAGAAAGAGATGAAACAATGATGGGTCTCCGACGGTTCTGGGCAGCTTACAGAAAACAGCTTGCTCTAACAGTGATTTAAAACAACACACTTATGGCTAGTGTAAGCAGGATAAAAGAGGAGGGGACGAGTGTTTAAAGGAACGTGCCCTTTCTGCAGGAATAGGGTAGACCCAGCGCCTGAGTCAAGGCGGAAGTAGTGTGGCAAGGTTGTCCGGCCCCGCCCCTAAGATCCTGGCCCCTGCCAGGTCTTTGCCTCCTGGGACTGGGGCTGACTTGGCGCTAGCCGTCTATAGAGGGCGGAGGCCTGTAGACTACAGCTCCCGGCATGCACTGCGGCGGGCGGGTCGCTGCACCTGCTCAGTGGGGCTGCCCCGGGCGCCTGGGTATTGATTATTCCATTGTGTGGGACGCCTCGGCTCCAGCCAGTGAATGAGGCGGAGGAGTGAGGGCTAGAAGGAGGAGGGCGAGGAGGAGGAGGAGGAGACAGGGAGCAAGCCAGTGCCCAGGGTGAATCAATGGAAACCCACTCACGAAGCCGGGAAAACACTTCAGCCGCAGCCAAATAGCATTGATTATTTTCTTTCACTTCCCTCACCGCCGTGAATTTATTTATTTTTCCATCTCCGTCCCCGACGCCCCGGAGCGAGCGCTGAAGGGAGGGAGGAGGAGGGGCAAAAAGGAATCAACACATCGGAGAAGTCCCTTCCAAGAGCCGCCCCCTCCCCTCCCCGCCTCGCGCTGCTTGGCGGCCGCGGTTCGACTCCCGTCCCTGCTTCCAGCTGAGGTGTAAGTGCATCGATTTCCGATGCTGCGGGGTTGGGTTTTTTTTTTTTTCCTTTTCCTTTTTTTTTTCTTCCTCTGCCTCTCACTCTCCTTCCCTTCCATGCTCTTCCGAATCTCGAGATCGAGAAAAGAGGAGGCGCTGGGAGACTGCTACTGGAGGGGACGGAGAGGGACGGGAAGGGGCTGGGGGAGGGGACGCGGACGGACAGACAGCCGGGACGAAGAGGACAGGAGTGTGGGGAAGAAAGGGCGTGCGAGCCGGATTGGGGAAGAGAGGTAGGGGTGGGAAAATGGAGAAGAGAAAGATATGGGCCAGCGGGACAGACGGAGGGTAGCGAGAGCCTAGACGTACCGCGCCGAGCTGTACCAGGAGCGGGGTTCCTGGAGGGAATGGGAGGTTGGGTGAGTGCAAGGGCTCTGAGCTATAGCCGGGAGGGGCCTGCGGCGCAAAGGACCTCAGCTGGCTGCGGGATGGGGGGAGAAACCCGGGCGGGAAGGCTGATGGATGGGCTAGCGCGCCGGGGTGCTGGGTGGAAGGAGGAGTGGATACCTTTAATGTTCATTTTTGCCTGAAGTAGGTGAGGGGAGCCCCATTCACAGTGAAGCGTGCCTGCCCTGCTTCTCCTGCTACCCCGACTCGCCATCCGCTCTCCTATACCCCTCATCATTTTTTGAGCTCTGGACCACGCTTCTCACTGTGCCTGCGTCCCCACTGATCTGTGGTTGTGCCATTTTTCACTTGGCTCCCCACCCCATCTAGATTCAGTTCCGTGTGTCCACTGTCTTGACTGTGACACTTCTCATCCGAGTGATCCTTACCACATACCCCTGTCCCTATGTGTCACGCCTAGACTGACTGACTGGTGGGCCATCCACGGCTCTCCTCCAGGGTCTGTCTGCACAACGGTGGCCTTTCCAGCTACTTTGGAGTTTGCTTATCAGCCATGATTGTGGTAGTCTACAGTCGGGGTCCTGAAAAGTAGGGGATGGAGGGAATGTGTCTACCCCTGATGACTCCAGTGCCCTTTCAGCGTGGGCATGACAGCTTCCTGCTCGCCTTCAGCAGGGAAGCCTTGGAACTTCTGGCATTGTTGATCACCTCGTTTGCCATGTGCCTTTGGGTCTCCAGTGTGTCCTCTGCCTTTCCAGCACAAGCCTCCTCCTTGCTGACTTCATTTTCCTCCCTTCCCCCACTCTACCATTGTATATATATTTTTATCCTCCAGTTTACCTCACCCTGTTGTCATATCCTTTTATCTGATGAACTAACTCCCTTGCAGAGTCTCCATCTTTGTTCCCTGTCCTCCTTAGTCTGCCAAAGTTGGGTTTTGTTTGGTTGTTTGTTTGTTGTTTTTTATCCCTTATCCTGTCACCCAGCGTTTTAACCCTAGCAGCAGCAGATGCCACGAGCAAAAGGCTGATTGAGAGATGGGGGTTATGTTTTGTGAAGGAACATAAAAAGGCCAAGAAATCAATTTAATGGGCTTCCAGGGGCGTGTAACTCCTTCATCAATCAGTTCCATTATGTCAGCTAACTGTCAACTTTAATTTTGAAAGGGGATGTTCTCTAGCTCCACCCCACCTGACTGCCCCCCGTCCTTCAGTTCCTTCTAGATATCAGTGGCCTTTTCCTCACTTTTTAGTTCATTTTCCTCATGGGAACCTGCTGTTATTCTCTTTGGACTTAGCAACATTCTTTACGAGACAGGTTTGATTATTCTCAGAAAACCTACCTTATGCAAGGGCCGTGTTCATTCAGTCTAAAGGGTGGTAAACGTGGATAGGGGACTTGGA